CAAATACTTTAATGTGATCTCTAATAGGAATCTCATATTTTTGTTTTTGTTTTTAAATAACCCATAGAAGTTATAGTATATGAGTCATTATATTTTCTTTTTCTGTCACAAGCTTATTTTTAACTACATATATTTTCAGATGATTTGTATCCTCTGGGCATTCTAAATCCTGACTGAATTACTATTTCAGTTATTTTCAACCCTTTTTATCTAATAGCACTCATAAACTACTTACTTAAATTCCGCAGCACACCAAAAATGTATTATATTTTTTGCCCATCTGACAAAAAAAATAGGTGTAATTTTGATTCATTCACACTGGATGGCTATTGTTGTGTTGACTGTTGTCATTTTTTAAATTTGATAATCTAAGAGAAAAGAGGTTAGGTATTGTATGTTTTAAAAATTCTTGTGGCACACTGAAAATTGCTGGACTATTCAGATACACATGAAAACTCCAAATAGTTGTATTTCCATAGTTATAGTGTTTTCATGAGAACTACATGTAGTGGAAAAGCACTCCTTTCTCTTTTTCTCTGAAAGATAAGTTCAATTTAATTAATTAGTTAAGGATACAAAACTTAACAAAAATCAAGTAGACTCACAGAGCAGAAACAGAGCATCATATCTTACTATGTTTTTCCATGGCCCCTAGATTGTGCAGTAGCCAGGAACACCTTATGACAAGTTTAGGGTCTTGCAGATATGAAGGTTCAATCCTTTGCTGTTCCTTAGGCTCTTTATATTCTAAGCTTACATCACCATTAATGAAGTACATGCTTCAAATAATTTAAGTCTTCAGTAATAAATATGTTTCTCCAGGACACAATGTGTATGGGGAAGTAGTGGGAGGGGGAGTAGGTTCAATGTTCAGGAGACCTTGGGTAGTGAGGCATTATAATATTGACTTTGTGGTCCAAGAACCACAATGGAAAATCTGTTTCATGGTTTTAAGATTCTATGGGGGAAAATCTTATTCAGAAGTGGTTTAGTGAGAGAACCAAATTATAAATACTTTGTAGGGTAATATTCTTGCTCAATGGTTTAAGAGTGGAACCAAGAAAAAAATGTACATCAATATTTACTTTTGCAACTAACATAAAACTGCTCAGAATATTTTTGTAGGAAAAAATTAGCAAAAATCACTCATTACCTCCTAGATATTAAAACAAAAAATGAGAAAAACCTGATATTTACATTAATATTAGTAAAGTTGAACACATTAAAATAGCCATTTATAGTTTCTATTTGGTCAATATCTACTCAAGCTCTTCTGTCATTAGGGCAGATTTGGTTCTTGGTGAGGACCCTCAACTTCTCACTTTGTTCTGATATGAGAGAGAGACAGAGAGAGAGAGAGAGAGAGAGAGAGAGAGAGAGAGAGAGAGAGTTCTAGTCTCTCTTCCTGTTATAATGCCAGCGTGAGGGTCCCACCCTCATGACCTCATATAAATCTAATAATTACACAAAGCCCCACTTCTAGATACTGTCACTTCAGAGGTGAGGTTAGGGCTTCAACATAAACTTCAAAGGGGTGAAAACATTCAGTCCATAATACGTTCTTTATCCTATATCTTGTCTATTTCCACCTGAAGAGGGTAATTCTGTTTATTTTTAATTTATTTTTATTATGAAAATTACTGTAAATCATCTGACATCAAAGAACACAAAGTAAATAATGAAAGTTCTTTCTTTAATCTTCAGTAATCCCATTTCCTAGGAATAGCTAATATTATCTGCCAGAATATACAAAAAGTTGTCATCAGTATGTATACATGCATATGTAACTGATATTTTACATTTAGATCGTCAGTTAAGCTGTGTGTGTGTTTAGTGTAAAGCAGAGATGTCTCCAAGTATTTAGCTGTCTTTTTAGCATGTCGTGACTAATTCATTACCCCCCCCCCCCACTCATCTATAATAATAAAAGCGTAATATGCTAATTAGACTGGTCAGCTGAATGACTTTCTGGACAACCTTCCGGACAAAGCCAGGGCTATAAGGGCTGAGGCAGCCTCTGTGGCTGTGAAGGTCGAGGCAGCCACCGAGACTGCGAGGGCCAAGCCCCTTGCGTGAATTTCATGCATAGGGCCTCTAGTACAACATAATTAACTGTATTATATACCATACTAGAGGCCCGGTGCATGAAATCAGCGAACAGGTGGTATCCCTAGGCCTGGCCGGCGATCAGGGCCAATCGGGACCGGGCTAGTCGGGGCCTGCCGGCTGCGGGGAGAGACAGGGCATGGGAGGTTGGCCGCAGGCCCCAATGGGGGAGCCAGCCTTCGGCCCCCCTGAGAAAGGGACTGCATCTGCTGCCACCCAACCCTGATTTCCTGTCCCAGCCCAGGGCACAAAGGCCCTGGCGGGGTCGGGAGAGGAGGCAACAGTTGTCAGGCCAGGCGTGGAAGGAACGGACGCCAGACGCCGATGCTGGAGCCCCGCCACCGTGCATTTCCCCGCCTCCCTTCATCCTCCTTCCCCCACCACCATACTGCCACTGAGGCCTGCCAGCCAGGGGGGTGGAACTGAGGGAGGTTTGCTGGATGCGGGGAGGGACCGCGGGAGGTTGGCTGCTGGCCCCGAGGAGGGAGTCAGCCCTCCGCCCTCCTGGAACAGGGACCGTGTCCTCCGCCACCCATCCCCACTTTCTCATCCCAGCCCGGGGCCTGCTGGCCAGGGGGAGGGACCACAGGAGGTTCGCCGGCCAGGGGCAGGTTGGCTGTGATAGTGCACTAACCACCAGGGGTCAGCTCCTGCTTTGAGCATCTGCCCTCTGCTGGTCAGTGTGCGTCATAGCAACTGGTCGTTCGGTAGTAATGGTCACTTGGACTTACATGTATATACATGCCATTATATATGTTGGTCTGTGTATTTTCAATTGTTTTAAGATACTAATAGTAAGATTTTTATTGTTTTTACTTTAATATTTTTCTCTCTCCAACTGGACCTTTGTTGCTTTTGAAATATTTCTTAGCTATTATGGTCCTTTGTCTAGTTTCAAGAATTTTTATCAGGCTTTTCACTTCAATTGCATAAAATTTGTGTGTTAATATGGGGAGATTTGCCCTTTATATAGTATTATGTGTTTTCATCCAGGAATATGACATAGCTTTTATTTATTCCAGTCAATCATTCAGTTTTATAGGTTCTTTACAGCTTTATTTATGGGTGTTTTAAATATTAAAGCTTTGCAAATATTAAGCTTTTTTTCTGCAATAAATTTGTAAATGTAACCACCTATTATAACACGATGCTTTTATATTTTTGCATGCTTTGTAAGCAACCATATTATTGGTTCTAATATCCTTTACTTGCCTTCTTAAGTTTTTCAGGTAATGGGTTTTCAAATTATGTCTGTTCCTTTCTAATATTTTTTTTTCTGTTTCTTTCTCTTATCTCCTTACATTGGACTTTTCAGTCTCAATTAAACAATGATAATAAACCATCTTGCCTTGATTCTTCTTTAATAGCTATATCCCCTTTCTATTTTATTGTGATACCATTTTCGAAGAATCAACTTTATTATTAAGAATCCTTTTCTCAGTTGTTCAATTTTTTTAAAAAATCAGATTATTAATGAATGTTAAACTTTATTAAATGTCTTTTTAGCATCAAATGAAAAAGTTGTGTGAGATTTCAGTGTGATGAGTAGCCTCAAATATTCTTACATTCTTAGAGTTTCTACTTGCTCTTTGAGTCTTTTTCTTTTATTTCATAGTATGTGAGTATTTTAATTAATATTCAAAAATTACTCTTTAATTGTCTTTATATTTTCTGGTTTAGTACTAGGCTTATGATATAGGTTGCTAAAATCCATTAGAATAATTATGTTTTATGTCTCAGATTAATTTTAAAGACTTAGTAATTATCTACACTTGAAAGCATGTGAGAGCATGATGGTAAACTTTTTGGAGCATGATACTTTTTTGAGACAATGCTTTTAAAACCCCTTTTTCTTCCATAGCTGATAAGAATTGTTAGTACATTTTTGTAATATCCTCAGTCATTTTTTTTTTTTGGATGGTAAAATTTGCCCTCTTTTATCTATCTATTATGCCCGTCCTCATTTATTTTTCATAAATTTATTAATTTATGTGTTTTTTCTCTCTCAAAAAGGTTCATGGAAATAATTTGTAAAGTTTTTGTTGTTACTTAGAAATGTTTGAACGTATTTAAGCAGATTTTTCTTCAGTGATACCCTTCTGCATTTCTGTATTCATTTAAAAATATTTAGACATAACTCTAAACTTTAAAGGTATTGTTTATACTTTCTATTTTGAGTGCTTATATTGGTTTACTTCTTAGTTTGAGATTTTTTTTGGGGGGGGGGATTAGGGGTCAGAACGCATATGTGCGTTGTAAACTCTCCAAGGACTATGTTTTATATTTTAATATAGTTGTCAGTGGTCAGTGTCTTATTTGACTTTAGTATTCATGAATATCAGTCTTATTTCTCTTAAAATTATTTAGATTTGGTCCATTGCTTTTATGAAGGAAATTAGTATTATAAGGAAAAAGTTTGTTGTAATTTTATTTTAACTTACACTTGTGGCATTTTTTTTTCTTTATCTGTGAAATGGGAAAATTTATTTTACTTTCTTGTTTGTTTTCTAAATTAATGTTTTCTGTCAGTTGGTGTATCTTAAATTAAGTTTTTATAGAGATTTTGATAGAGAGGACCTTTAAAGGAAGATACTTTGGTATTATATGTGGTTTAACAGATCTACATGAATTAGTTATATATTGCTGAGTAACAGATTACTCTAAAACTTAGTAGCTTTAGAAGAACATAGACTTGTTATCTCTTAGTTTCTTTGGGCCAGGAATCAAGTCATGGCTTAGCTAGGTTCTTTGCTTCAGAGTCTTATGAGAATGCAGTCATGGTGTCAGCTCAGGGCTGGGATCTCAACTGAAGACTTGACTGGGGCAGGATCTGCTTCCAAGCTTACTCTTGGCCCAATCTAGTGTTTTTTCCACTGCAACACATATCGTTGGGTATTTACTTTATTTAAAAGTCACTCTTTGGGTCTTACATCCAACCCCAAGAACATGTGTGTGAGTATGTGTACCCATAGGAGGGGAAGAAAGGAGGGAGAGTAAAAAAAGGGGAGGATGATTTTAGCACAATATATTTTTAAGAACTATATTTTTTTTCCCCCTATAGGTGCCTTAGCTGGACCAATTATTGTGGAGCCACATGTCACAGCAGTATGGGGAAAGAATGTTTCATTGAAGTGTTTAATTGAAGTGAATGAAACTATAACCCAAATTTCATGGGAAAAGGTACATGGCAAAGGTTCACAGACTGTTGCAGTTCACCATCCTCAATATGGATTCTCTGTTCAAGGAGAGTATCAGGGAAGAGTCTTGTTTAAAAACTATTCACTTAATGATGCAACAATTACTCTACATAACATAGGATTTTCTGATTCTGGAAAATACATATGCAAAGCTGTTACATTCCCACTTGGAAATGCTCAGTCCTCTACAACCGTAACTGTATTAGGTAGGTATGCTTGAGTTATGTGTTTTGGTGGTAGTTGTGAGGATTATACTAAAAATATTTTAAAGAATTCAAAATTATTGAAATTATATATAAATTTAGGTTTAAAATAAGTTTCTCAAGTTCTGTATTAAAATCCTTTGATTCTAAGTTCTTAAGTTAAACTAACTCTTTCTCTACCTATCTACCTACCTATCTATCTATGTAATTGTATGTAGGTCTTAGCTATTTTACTTTTTTCATGAGATTATTTTTTATTTATACTAAGTGCTGAGTTTTTTTTTACATACTTCCAAAAAGTATTTTTATTGATTTTAGAGAGGAAGAGAGAGAGAGAAATATCAATGATGAGAGAGACTCATTGATCAACTGTTGTCTGCATGTCCCCACTAGGGATCTAGGCCACAACCAGGGCATCAAACCATGACCTCCTAGTTCAAAGGTCAACACTCAACCACTGAGCCACACTGGCAGGGTATGCCATACTTTTTAAAACATACGTTTTTATTGCCCTAGCTGGTTTGGCTCATGGACTGAAGGATCCAAGTTTGATTCCAGTCAAGGTCACATGCCAGGTTGCAGGGTTGCAGGCTCGATCCCCAGTAGGGGGTGTGCAGGAGGCAGCTGATCAATGATTCTATCTCATCATTGATGTTTATAGCTCTCTCTCCCTCTCCCTTCCTCTCTGAAATC